AGAACGGGCGCATGGTTGCATGATGACGTGCTGACGCAGCGAGATACTGGCGACATGCTGCTGCCGGCGTGTTGCTATTGTGTTGCAGCGAAGATGTCTTGTTTTCCGCTGGTGCGCATTTCAGTTGATCAAAACAGTGTCCTCTTTTTTATTCACCGATGACAGCCGCAAGGCCCACCGTCCTCCTGTGTTTGCGACAAAATTTAGACCAGGTATTGCTGGAAAATCTATTACTTTAAGCCGCAAACTAACCTGCAGAGCAAACAACTAGCCCCGATTACTTAGAATAATTCCAGGTACCTCGCATCCAACTTACTTGCACCTTTATTAATTCGAAAACCCGTTGATTTCAAAGATTTTTCGTAGGCCCCAGTGACTTCGAATTAAGGAGGTTTTACTGTATATAAACAGCTTGACAAATGGCCTCTGCGAACAGGCTCATCACTTCGCTGTGCAACCAATACGAACCCGCACAGATTTGTTTCGGTTTTCTTTTTTTCGTGATGCCGTTAACTTGTGGAATAGTTTGCCAGAGGAAGCTGTGCAAACAAATGATGTAAATGATTTTTTGGTATTTTTAGACAGGTATTGTATCAATTATAATTTTGCTTGTTAGTTGGGCATCGTTATATGTTTGTGCCTGGAGTTATTCATTGTGCTTTTCCTGTAACAACCTTCAAGTCAAGAGAGGGTTAACAGTATGAATAAATAAATAAGCAAATACTAGGGTTTATGCTGCATGGGCTGTACGCAATATTAGGAATTCGATGTGCTTACCCAAGCAGTTAGAGTATAACATATGCGCAGTGGCACTAAACGCTAATGGGAAACTCTGTGTACTTTCATCTAAAACTGTGTATTTTTAGAACATTGCAAGAAGATTCGTTAACCTGCACCAAATCATTGCTAAGGTGAGTGATCGAGGCTATATTCTTAGCAATTATGATTTTGGAAGATTCATGCAGTACTTGCTTAAATTTTTCCCAAAAGGCTTTTGCAATCAGTGACATAAATGAATAGGTCGCCATTGTTCTCACACACGCGTGGCTACTTTCTCTGCCCTCAGTGGCAGGGGCATAGCCAGAGAATAACACACAGGACACATGCCCCCTCCCTCCAATTTTTTTTCACCATAGCATAGAGAGCGAAAAATGACCATTTCAAGGGGGTGCCTAAATCTTACTTTAAGTACCGCTCACAATGTGTAAAAATTAAGGATTCATTTTCTTCTCTCCAGGTAATAACCACAGGGGTTCCGCAAGGTAGCATTCTAGGACTGCTGCTTTTTAAGCTATACATAAATGACATTGTCAAGGTCAGTGACAAACCTAAATACATAAAATACACGTATGACACCAGCATTTTCTTTACAGGTAACGACATGACTGCCATGATCACACTTATAAACACTACGTTAGAAAGCTTAAACACATGGAGTAAATGAAATTAATTACTCATTAATGCAACAAAAACAAAAGCTGTAGTTTTTCATTCGCAGAGACAGATTTCCTTAGGCAATAGATTACGTATAGGTAGCGCGGCTGTTGAAATTGTAGGAACCGTTAAAACTTTAGGAGTACTTTTTAATTGCACAATGTCGTGGGATCCTCAGATTAATAATATAATTACCAACCTATCAAAATGTGTGGGCATACTTGCACGAATGCATTATTTTCTTCCAGTTTCTATTAAACGAACACTTTATAACAGCTTGTTTTTGTCGCATGTAAATTATTGTCTTTTGGTATGGGCAAGTACGACAGCAACCAACATAAGTAAAATATACAGACTACAAAAAAAAAAGCGATCAGGTTTATAGCAAATGTCAACTACTATGCACACACAGATGAACTGTTTCAGCACTATATATTGTCCTAATTCACAAACTTTATGGGTATTCCCTAGCAATAAGATATAAGCAATCTCTTTTTCATAACAATCGTGCCTTCTTAGATATCTTTGTTCTGGAAACGCATGCTATTCCGTACCCTACTCGTCACCAACAACACTGGAACCTTCCATTCTGTAGAAAAAATTTTGGGCAACAAATGTTGTGTTTTAGTGTTCCTTTGTTATTAAATAAATTACTGGAGGCAAAACTAATTCTTGAGAAATGCAGTGCACGTGACATTAGGGAAGTGCTTTTATCGTGAAAATCGAGAAAATGGTGGTCCAGGCATTCATGGAACTGTCTATATATAAATATATATATGTATATATATGTGTATATGTATATATATATGTGTGTATATGTATCTACATATATGTGTGTATATTTATGTGTATGTGTGTACACGCAATTTCTATGCATAGCATTGTTGTCATATATATAGTATTTTGTATTCTGTCATATTTTGCATTGTACTTCGGAATTTGTGCTGAAAGAAATTACTTACACATATTAGTCTCTGTACATAGCATTACTGTACGTGCATCTTCCGACTTGTACTGCGCCAAACATCTCATGGCCCATGTTCATTGCCTATATGTTCATGGCCTATGTTTCTTCACCCATGTCCGCGTTGCTTGCCATGTATTAGGGAGGCTCGGGTTCTCCTCAAGTGACAAAACGTCACTTTTCTCCTGAGCCTGCCCTCATCCTTGGGATGAAATAAAATAGAATTGAATTGAATTGAATCTCTCCTCCCGAAATAAAAGAGGTGCCCCCCTCCACCCCCCCAGAATGTCTGTCTACGCACCTGCTAACACAGCCGTAGATTAAAGACAATAAAGCTATGAAATGACACGGAGATTTAGGGCTCTCCTGTCGTTTACTTATGGCCACGATAGCTTCCGCACTTTCAGTTGCAATATTCAGTTGGCCTCTTGCGAAGCTTTGACACGCTCGTTCGTGGATTCGTGCATTGCACTCTGAGTCCACCGCAAGGGTCGCCTGAGTATCATATTTACCTTTCTACAACTTGCCTCTGCATATTACTGGCACCCACAATCGCAAACTGCGTAAGTAAAAAAAAAAAAAAACTACCTGCATATTGACGCAATGTCACCTTCCTTGCATTGTTGTGCAGCCGTGCCCTGAAGCACCGAAATTTTCTTTTAACCCGCACTGTGTCTTTAGCTCCAATTTTCGTGCATGTTTTGATTGCGTTATGTGTGAGAAAATACATTCATTCGTTGTGCGGCCAGGTAAGTCTCAGTTAACGAGAGTTGAATGTGTGCGCTTGCTGGGACGAAAGGGCGAGTCATAATCATCAGCTCTTGAGGCTCACTCACACCGAACGCGGGGCAGCCAAAGCGGCAAAGCGGAAAGTGGCAAAAATCTTTTCTTCAGGCGACAAAAGCGGGAGCAAAACAACGTGGAAAGGGCGATCGCTTTCAGCGCAATTTTTTGCCCCCTGCCGAGGCTGGCCGTTTGGCCGCAGCCAATTAGAATGCCACGCAGAGGAGGGTGCGGTGGTGGTGCGGTTTCAGCTTTGGGAGAAGCATTGCCACCTCATAGTGACACATGCGCAAAATCGTCAAATGCCGGCCTCTTCTGCCGTGCAATGAGCCAAAGGTGGCGGGCGGGCAGAGCAGAAGCACGCTCTCGCCGCTTCGAAAAGCCCACTTGCGCACTTTGCCACCCCGCCTTTGGTGTGACCTAGCCTTTACCAAATTTTGTTGTCTATAGATGAAATATCGCTACAACGATATTAACGATATTAATCGTTGTAGCGATATTAACTATCGCTACAACAATTATAACGGGTGGGAGGTTCACCACTGGAGGCGCGAATGCTTCAATCGCTGGGACTTGCAGGGTTGGATCACATGATCTTGCCTAGCTCTGGCGAAGGAAAGCTGGCAAATAGATGCATTGTTTTTAACGGCGAGTTGCGGTGTTTTCATTTTTGAACAGCGTTGTATTGCTCTGACTTCATCTGTGCGGATTTCTGCAGGCTGCAAGTTGCAGTAAACATTACCGGCGGCGTGCCACAGTGTGCTACGTACATGATGCTACTGTTGCGGCTGCAGGCAGTGGCACTGTCATCGCTCTCTTTTTTGTTGTGGTTGTTATTTTTTGCCCATGGGGTTTAATTGAGCACAGACCATGAATGTACAGATGAAAGCAGAACGTTTCAGTTTCAGCATGGGAGCTTCATACGCGATGAAAAATGAATGTGCAAACAGTTGAATTATGTATATTTTAAAATGGGACGAAACCTTCTTTCTTGCACGAAACCTTCTTTCTTGCACTACACATGTGCCGCTCTAATCTTTGGTAAAGCTTATTTCTCTCGCCACGGTAACTTTTATCGTGGTCTGCCCCACCACCATCCTCCTCCCCGGGCGTCCGTTCCCATGTGTGTACCACCCGACCATGTGAGCTTCCATCTGCCAGTGGCAGTTCCAGGGAGTTGCTGACCAAGCCCATGCCCTCCCTTCTCCACCTTTCCCAAATTTTTCCATGGTATATAGCATACAAAATAACGGTCGCCCTAACCTGCCTGCCCGGCCCCCAGTTCTAAGGTGGTGCCCCCTGTGAAAAAAATTTCTGCCTGCGCGCCTGCTCAGTTGGCTACTTCCTTGTTAGTTTCTCTAACTTTTTGCCTATTTTCTGTCTTTTCAGCTTGTAAACCATGCTCAACAGTTTACGGACAAGGCCTTGATAATGAATCTCGTTTCTAAGGCAATGTTTCTGATTTAGGCCTCCCTTGTTTGATTACTGTTGTCATAATCTCTGGAAAGGCACTAAATGAGTCGAGCTGGAGCAGTTAACATAATGGGAAACATTGTAGAAGATAGAATTACTAGTATTCTGCGACAAACAAGTCAGCTCTCCTCTATAACTTCAACTGTACACTAAATATCTGAAGGATGTTGACAGAGATCTGCATAAAGCTACAGATAAGGTTATATTAGCTTGAAAACATTTTTCAAAACAAATCCAAAATGATTTTTTAGAGTCTGTTTCAAACAGAGTGAGAAAGTACCGTCTGGAAGTGTTTTCTCCTAAATTTTGTAATCTCTTGTATATATTTTTTTCTCCACTTCTATAGCAGAGACCGAAGAACTGAAATTTCCGGACGAGTACCCAACGAGCTGCCTCTTAGGATGTGTCAATCTTGTTGATTGCCTGCCCCAGGACACCTACCGTGAACAGGTGCCCCTCTTTGTCTCATGAGAGTTCCAGTTATTTTTAGTGCTACAGTGACCTGCGGTTTTTACTGCATGCTAACATCGGATGTGATAAGCTGCACTTATGGCAACAAAGAAAGGGCACTGGTATAGTTGTATGTCATGGAGCAGCAAAGCAAGCTGCTGAGGCATAGATCGGAAGAGTTTGTGTATGAGCTGATTTGAATTGTTTTTTTAACTGCTGCTTTAAGGGAGGACACTCCACCTAAAAAAATTTTTTTGGTTGTGGGTGAATTTTGATCAAACTTCCAAACCTTATGTATTTCGACATGTTGATTTCAAATATGCCATTACTTTTTCTGTGCAACATGTACTTTTCAAAATATTGAGAAAAACTTGTTTTTTGAATTGCCTGATTTGGAGGTGAGTTTTCTCTTGTATGCTTGTAGTGATCAAAGACAGTGGCATATAAAAATGATGTTGTATAGTCAGAGCTTGCTGTGCTGCAAGAATGAATGCTCTGGACTAATTTGGGCCAAAGTTATAGCATGTCAAACTTTTGTAAGCAAAATGCTTTGGTAACACCTTGGAGAAATTATTACTTTTTGAAAACATTTCTCATGTTACTCGTTCAAATTTCATGCCTACTGCTCTCCCCATTGGCCCCCTTTTTCTAACAAAACAAGAATCACTGTGATAGAAAAAGTACCACCAGAGATATCCAAAACTACATCATGATAAAAAGGGCAGTTTTGAGAAAACTAGAAAAAACATTTCAGGACAAGTTAGAAATAATTATGGAAAGTTGTTGAACACTGCAGTGATCGAGGATGATATACGGGTTCAGTCAGGCAAGAATAGTATTTTACAACACTCTCGAATAAAATTAGGGCATCGGAAAATTTATTTGTAAAATTAAATAATAGCTTCAAAAAATTAATTTTTTAAATGTTCGTTAACATGTATTTATGTACTACCGTATTTACTCCAAAATGGGTCGGGCAGGAGAATAGGTCGATCCCTACTTAGTGTTCTACAAGCGAAAAAAAAATTCGAATTAAGGTCAATAAATGCTTTTTTTTAGCTTAGAATGAAATGTAGCACACCTTTATTTACACAACTTAGCGCCTTATCGCTGCCGGGGCCATCATCATCATGTCAGACTCAGATGTACAAGATGATCTCATCGGAGGCTTCACAAGCATCCGCGACTTCTCAAACGATGTCATCCTTGCTGCCACCGCTGCTGATTGCTGAGTCGCGAAAGGCACGAAGCTGACATTGGCCTGCAAACAGACGGTCCCGCTGCTTTTGGCAACCCCTAATCGTCTCATTTACACAGAACTCGCGCTGCACGGCACAATTCTGCTCGAGTCTTCGGTAAAAAGTTTCACTTGGTACTTGAAGTCACTTGTGTAGCTCTACCGACGTGACATCATTGCGACCGCGCGCAACCGAATGGTGGTGGTGGTTAAAAGAAGGCGCCTGATTTTGATTTCTGCAGCCCGGTGGGGAGCACGGCGCACCGCCTAAGCAAACGCGAACCGTCATGCCGGTCGTACGATAAACAAAGCGCAAGGCTGCGAGGCCTCAGGCCAGTAGTGCGGCTGAGCGCCGGTAGGCAGCCTAGGGACTAGGGACTTCATGGCCAATACTTTGGGAAATTGTGGGTTTCATTGCTAACACGGCAGAGCAGCTGCATTTTGTGGGGGCGATACATGGCCGTTGCATGAATAACTACTTTTTTAATTACTTAAGTAGTCGGAAAGGAAAACTAGGGTCTTTATTTCAAATTTCATGGTATATAACATGAGTATTCAGCAGGAACCGCTTGAAGAACAGCAGGCGCGACAATTGAATGCCATAAGCTCGGCATTTTCGGTTGGTTCAATCGTGAATGTAGGGCGAGATTTTTTGGTCACGATATAAGTCGAAAGCGAATTATGAACAACATTTTCAAAAAAAAAAAAAGGTCGACCTATATACCAATAATTACGGTTCTGATACTGCTCTTGTCAAGTCACCACCTTTCTCACAAAAAAGGAATTATCGAGACTACTTCAGTAGAACCAGAGATATTGTTGCTCCAATATTTCACCATCGGAAATTCCACTTTGGGGAACCAGGTAAAAAAGAAGTTGCCGTTTCATTGTGCAGCTTCTGCCGCGACAGTCCCATGGACACGAAAAAATTGTTCATGAATGTCTGGCGGTTCCCACTACAGAGCATTGCACGCGTGGATAAAATGTTTATCTCAAATGCATTGCATAACATTTCACCATTGACTCTGCGCGAGTTCCATGCAGTCGTCACTTCGCCACAACAGTCGCTTTTCACTATTACTTTCTTATCGAGGTCGTAGTCGCGGCCACGGTCACCCGTGACTAGTTTTGCACACCCGCCACATACTTTGCACTACGCCTTGCACCGTAAGGAATCAGCGAGCAAGCTCATTCAAGATCTTTAAGTCGAACATCAAATACGCAGCTGCAGCGTCCGTGGACAGAGGCCGATATGGCGTGTGGCTTGCATCGGTGAAAACCGCAGTGTTTCGCGCTGTCGACCTAAAGTCGTTCAGGCATGCCCTGCTCACGAGCACTCACTCGTGACAGCTTCAGTGTGAACTCGCACAAGGCTTGAGTCGGAGCGAAGAATGCCGTCGTTCTGTGGCGGATCGCTGTCACTTGCATTGTCGCGGGTCGCTTGCTTATCCTTTCTAAAGCTGGATGACGGCATGCCCTTATCTTGCAGACCGCCATTACCTGAGCCGACGAGGCTGGGTGCCCTGGCAGTGAGGGTCACTTGCTCATTGTTTGGAGAGTGGTGCAATACGGTGCCTTTGTGAAGCCGACTGCAATCACTTCCATCGCCGTTATCGGGTGCTGAAGCAATGATGCTCACTTGCTGACCGCTTGCAGAAACTTGCGATGTGCCGATAGCCCCCCCCCCCCCCCCCTTTTTTTTTAAAGTTTAGGCTTGCCTTCCGCCGATCTGATACACCGAGTGGAACTTCCTCGGTCCTCCAAGCACGTTCGTCGTAGGATTGTAACCAAAGCCGATATGGCGCCTCAACGAGCCAGGTTTTCAATAGAGCGCCCTAAGCCAATCAGACAGCACCATTTTAGCCACGTGAGCGGAAGTGGCCAATAGCAACGATTTACGCCTACTTTTTTTTTTTTTTTTTGAGAAAGTGACAAGCTCAGTGTTACCCGACGGAGCGATAAAAAATGCCAAACGCTACAGCTTTTCAGCGATACAAAAATGGCCGCCTTAGAGCGGGCTGTTCAAAAGTTTCGGGCAGCTGAAATAAGCGCAATTTGTCCATAATTTAAAGGGCTGAGGGCATCTTAATGCATCTTTGATTTACTGTTAGGCCGCTAATACGTGTAATTTTGAAACGAAAATGTGCACACAGGTGTGCGATGGTAGAAAGAATACGAAAATGACACTTCTTAAAATTCGATTTTCGGGCAAATTTTCGGGTCCCAAGAGCCATGTCTCTCCTTAAGCTGCTGTTTTGTGCATCGCATGCTGCTACGATAATTGTGTGTTATCCCTTGTGTTCAGTAGGGCATTTATTTTCATGCTGTTTTCTTACAGTTCTTGTCTGGTGCTTTTTGTAGCTCCTGCTTGAATTCCATTCCTTATAGCTACCACTGATGTTGCCAATTATATAGTCCTTATCCCTGTGACCCTTTATGCATGTTTGTGCCTGTATTTGTATGTGTGCTCTATATAATAGTTGATAGGCAGGCACCAAAAGCCATGCAGAGCTGGATGGAAAGCTCCCTTAACCTAAGCGTATGTTCACTTGTGTTCTGAAGATGACTACATTTAAACCTGCATATACTGAGTTGATAAATTTCCCCAAAAATTCGTTTTAAAGAGGATTTCATTATATGCAGGTTCGGACACAAACATTCGGAAACTAAATGCTCAAGTCAAACAATAGGGTAAACTGAAGGCAGACCTAACTAAAAGCACTTATTTTACAGTAAAAAACTGCTTATTATTGCAATAGCAATTACATGAACATTCTCAGCGGGTTTTTGCCGTCGCCGCCTTGTTTTGTAACAAGTTCAAATCGATAACATGCCCCCGCGCTTCGGAACTTTCACGATCAAATAAGTCGGCCCATCCCTATCGCCTGGAAAGTGCATGAGATAACACCCCCCGCGTGTTTGAACTTCCGTCGAATGTTCAAACATAAATTAAACCACCCGTCTTGAACAAGCATAAAGCAGCGCGGGGAGGGGGGGGAGGTATCACTCAAGTAGCAATAATGAACTTGGATTTTAAAGGCGGTTGCCATCACTTGTGTACATGCTATCTCGGCGAGTATCAGTGTGGTTTCAACGCGAAAGAACTGAGTGAAAAGAGCAGTTCTCCCTGGAGTGGCCGTATTTGCTCACACCAGTGTTTTGTAGGAGTTTCGTGCTAGCGGATCCAAAAGAGTTGGCTGCCAGCCTTACTTCTTACAACATTATATTTTTTTGCTGTCGCATTCATTGCATTGCATTAGACGCGCTGTCGTGTTGGCAGAACTAATCGGCTAATCGCGAAAGCTACCTGCCTGCGAACTCGCGGAACAGCTCAAGACGAAAGCGCATGACTAGTCGGCCTCCAAAGATCCGTCGTCAGCATCGTCTCGGAGAGTTTCCATCAGTGCACAATCTGACATCCTCTCGGTGTTGACGACACGGTTGTCCGAAATTAGGGAAAGTCACAGTTTCGCCACAAGGGCAAAGCAATGAAGGCAATAGCAACAACTTGGAATGTAACGCAGAGAATGGCAAGCAAATCGAAACATGCAGGGCACTGCTTGCAGACCAATGACGAACGAAAACATACCCATGACGAGAGCGAACTAACAATGTTTACCGCCCGACACTTAACGTGCTGTTTAAACAAAGACTAGGCACAAAAGGTAATCACAGGTACACATAGGAGTGCGAAGTAACAAGTGCCCCAGTTTTTAATTCACTGTGTTTGAAAAGTGGACTCTTTTCACAAACGGCGCCTGTTCAGTAAGCGAAGCTATCGTTGTGCACCCGGCAACTAAATCATAGTCGAAGGTGTGCGATTCATCCATCAAAGAACCAGCTTGGGTACAAGCTTCTACCCCCCCCCCCCCCCCCTACTTGCAGGGCAAAGTACGTGTGGGAGATAAGCGCGCATCTGCGCATTGTGTAAGCTGGGGGCCTAGCGCAGACTTTTTTTCTTAAGTTTTCATGTGAGAACTCGTAGCTTTGCCGCAATGGCGAAGCAATGAACGCGATAGCAACAAATTGGAAGGTCACGTGCCCCGCGTTTCTCACGCACAAATAACACACGAAATGCACTTACAGGTACAGATGAACGCAAAGAAGCATCTCAGTTGTTACTTCGCTGTATCTGTAAAGTGTGCCCTTTTCGCAAATGGAGACTGTGCAACCATTACAGTGACCTTTGTGCGCCCGATAACTACAACAGAATTGTTCTAGTGAAAGCTTAAGGCCAGCCAATACGTTTGATTGTGCCCATCACGAGATAAGAGGGCGCGTTTAGTGTCCATCCTGCTCTCTCTCCGTGGGGCAAAGTACGCGTGGAAGATGAGAGTGCACGTGCTGCTTCGTTACGATGTGACGACCCACACTCATTGCGCCAATTTGATGGTAATGCTGTAAACACGATAGTTCTCCGCGAGATGCCCGTCACCAGCAGTAAGTGGTAGATATAAATAGCTTGCCGCTTGAACGTTGAAGGAGGTGCTCCCTTGTGGGTCAGTAGTTAACGCCTTGCACTCACAATTCAGAGCTCCCACATTCGATTCTGGCACCGGAATCTTTTTCTGAATTATTTTTTTTTCTTGTGTTTTCATATATATAAATACGCATACATATACGGTGAGTGACAGCGACGCTGGTTGCAAAATCCAGCTTAGAGTGTTTGTATAATTGCTATCTCAATCAAATAAATACATATACAGTCAATTCCAGATATATCAAACTCATATATATCGAAATATTGGCTATATCGAACTGTAGAAAAATCCCCTTGATCGTTCCATGCAAAAGTATGGGACCGGTGCACCAGTATATCGAACTCTCGCACAGCGGGATATCCGCTATATCAAACGCCGCGCCGCGTCGAAGCCCAGAAAGTGCATTTTCTGTACCAAATATTGATCAATTTTAGGCCGCATTCTAACAAGTTCCGATCCTTTTTCGTGTGTAGGGGACGAAAAAAACGGGTGTTGTCCCATCGCGCTAATCTGGTTCGTCGCGCAGCACTTTCTACATCTGTACGTTTGATGCACGATCTGCAGGTTTTAGCGCACGGACATAATGTTTTCCAAGAGGCCGATTGCGGAGGGCACCGAAATGAGAATGGAAAGTGACTCTGCGATCTCAGTGCAATGATTGCATGTGGTTCGCATTCCCTTCCTTGTTAGCACACAATGGCATGCAAGCCTGAAAAGCATGGCCTTCAAGATGTGCTACCTTGTCACGTATTTTCAGTGTTTTCGGTTTCAAAACACTTGTCTTGGAGGCTACACTTTTTTTTTATCTTTTCGCATCAAGGCCACTAAAAGCAGCGGCTGCCAGCTACTAAGCCATAGTGACATCGATAACGCCAACATGTCGACGGTGGGAACTTGGACCAACTCGGCATTGTGCACTTCTCGCCTTGTTCCTGATAAATCCTCATTCGGGAGTTTTACTGAACGTTAACCCACACGTAGCGATAAAAATTATGGCTGGCGCTTGGAGCGACGTCAAGTAAAACACTGTTGTAGACCTTCCTTGCGGGCCAGGTGATGACTTTGGGTGCGTCATGACTTCTAACAACGGCATACGGGGCTTAGTGAATTCTGTGACTTATCAGCATTCCGGGCACCATCTCGGACAGTAGCGATTTCATTGGTACAGATGATGAAGTTGCTGTTTCTGACTGCATTGATGCTGAGATTTTGGCTGCCGTGTTCGGTGCTTCGGAAGTGTACTCGCACCTATATGATGAATATGCGAACGCCTTCGCTTCTACCGCTAACCAAGGTTTTGCCGCGCTACGAAGCTTGCATCGGCGTTCTGCGTCAGCGAACGTTGTGGCTGAAGGAGCTAAGTTCGCTTATTTGAAAAGCTTCAATGATATTAAGGATGACTGGAACTTAACAGCGCGCAAGAAGCAAGACAAGTTTACGGACTAAATAAACTGTAGTAACCTACAGTTTGCACCTTGTTTTTGAGCTAATCGTTATCTTAGCTCTTGTAACCATTTCAGAGACTTGAAATTCTTTAGTTTAGGCCCCAAATATGCATATTTTGTATTTTGAATTCTCGATATATCGAACTATTTCACGCTCCCCTTCGAGTTCGATATATTCAGGATCAACTGTACTAATACGGTGAATGACGGCAGCGGCGGCAAAAAATTAGCTTAGACTTTCTGTATAGTTGCTATCACAATAATAATACAAAAAAGCAAAGCTTATCGTCATCGGGGGCCACACCATGCGCGTGCAATAAAACTTTGCTTGTGCGCACGCCGTCGAAAATGAAGGGCGAACGACACGGACACGGATACCGCGGAAAACTATTTGGTAAAGCGCCCTCCATATGCAGCGTAGCCCCATATACGTGATGCTACCTAAAAACGGGGTACTGCCAACGTGCAGAAGTAGTTTTCTTCTTTTTTAAAATTTTGGCCAGAGCGGGGTACACATGCGCGTGCGGCCGCCGCGGCGAAAACGGTGGCATTGTAGGCTTGTGCGGTGCAGACCCGCCTGCCCGTCTAGCGGTCGCTCTCACTTGGTGCGCCGTGCACGCCGCCACAGCTTAGCGTTTCGGCAGCGACTGGCCAGTTGCGGAAGGTGCATGCTCGTACCAAAATTCCAGAATGCGGAGAAATATTCCTAGATTGTCCGTGGGGAAAATCCGTTGTATCAAGGTTGTCTCCCGCGGTTACTTTGTTACATAGAGGTAGCAAATACATGTGCTTCTATGGAGCAACGCGGGGAATAGAAAAACTTCGTTACATTGAGGAATTCGTTATACGAAGGTTCTTTATAAGCAGGTTCAACTGTATAATTTTTTTCACCTGTCCCCTGCCGCGGTGGTCTAGTGGCTAAGGCACTCTGCTGCTGGCCCACAGGTCGCGGGATCAAATTTTGGTTGCAGTGGCTACAGTGCAGATTAAAGAATCCCAGTTAATTGAAATATCTGGAGCTCTCCACTACGGTGTTTCGTAAAAGTATGGCGGTTTTGGAACGTTAGACCCCTCATATCTATCAATCTATCATTTTATCTGCCGGTCTTCTTTGCGGCTTTTGCCTTGAAACATGCTAAACCAACACATCCAGCTATCCGATCTAACCTTACTTTTTCTTTTTGTTTTTCAGTATCCATTTGGAGAATGCATTTCCCCTTTTGTCTTCATATGTGAGAGACCTCAAGGGCTGAAAACAAAGCTCCCTATGAAAGGACAACACAAAATCTGTAAGTGTACCAGCTGTGAGCTGTTAAAACAGTTACCGTGTAATGCGGAATATAGGTCGAGGCAGAATATAGGTTGACCCACTTACCTTGACCAGCAAAAAAAGAAAAACCCGGAAAATTGCTCACTGATTCACTTTATTCAGTCCTCAAAGCTGTTGAAGCTCTCCTCCGAGGACGACTGCTTTGTGCTAGCTCCCTCTCATAACATGTCGTTCTCGGTGCCGTCGAGAGCATTGCTAATGCAGCACTTCTCACATGCGTGCACCACCATTTCTTCAGGCAGAGACCTCCTTGCCTCGGACACCCCAACCACAAACTGTCGTGAGAGGTGTCCTGCGCAGCCGGCCTGTCGGGGTTTGTGTGTTGTATAACGCATGCACACGGTCTTTAAAAGGCTTGTTAAGGACGCCGTCGAGCGGTTGCAGTGTTGACTTCATCCCTCCCAGAATGACGACAAGATCGGTCCTTCTGTTGCGAAGTCTCTCCTTCACTGATGCCGTCGTATTCCCGTGAAATGCATCTAACACGAGCATGTTCCCATGCTGCAGGAAAGCTCTGGGCCACCGGTTCCACACTGTGGGGCTCCACTCGCGCATTAGGGCATCCATGTACCTCTTTTCGTTTACGCGGACGACGACATCCCACAGGAAGGCCTCCTTTGGCAGCATTTTCCGCTTAAAGATGATGAACGGGGGCAACTATCTGCCGTCGGCTGTGCAGGTAACCCTAACAGTGAAGCGCGAATGCTCCCACTTCACCGTAATGGTTGACAAAAGCTTCACTTGCTTTGCCCCACGTTCACAGACTGACCTGGATGACGGCATGTCAAACCACATCGACATTTCGTCGGCGTTGCTGATCTGGCCTAACATATAGCCAGGCTGCTGCCGGAGACTATTCATGTAGAGTTGAAACTCTATCAGCTTGTCCTCATACATTTCGGGCAGCTTCTGGCAGATTGACCTGCGCCGTCTAAAGGCAAATATTTCGCGTCGCATGAAGCGGCGGACCAAATAAATGTACCCCTTGAAATCCCCCCTAGGCAGACTGACTTCACGGGTGAGCTCGATGGCTTTTGTGCAGATAAGCTCTGCATTCACTGGCAGAGACCTGGCACGGTACTTGCGGACGAAATTCGCTACTTTGTACTCGAGTTCCGGGTGCGCAGCTCGGCGACGGCGAAACGATGTCTTCCACGCGTTATATACCGACAGTTTGGATTTTTGGTTGTGCCAGTACCTGACCCTTTTCTCCGACACTCCAAACTGCCGCTGCCCCTCCATGTTGCATTGGTTCTCACAAATTCAGTAACTTTTATCTCACGCGGTGGTGAACTGGTGCCGCATCCCAGTATTCATAGCTGGTCAAAGAGCAAGGTTGCCACTCGCTAGGAACACTGAATGAACAAGAAAAGAAAAATGGCGTTGGCAGAAAACACGTCGGGTGTCGGCCCATGTAGGCGATGGGGATGCTGATGCCCAAGAAATATGCGACGCTCCCTGTTTCCAGATCACTCGGTTTATGCCAAGGGCCGGTATATAGGTCGAGAAGTGACCATTTAGTGACATTTTTGAAAAAAAAAAAAAAATATATCGACCAATATTTTGCACTTTACGGTACTAAAGCAACTGTTTTATGTTTGGCGTGTACTAGGTTGATTCAAACTACTGTTATAAACAGATAAAGAGGCACTTAGTTCGAAATTTCGCTGCTTAGAGCGCCCCAGGGATTGATTTCTATGTACATGCATATACCAGCTACCCGAATATGAACAGTCTCAGTAACTTGGAAGATAATTTATATGAACATTGCAGTGCACATGCACTATACATCATGCCTCGCGAAGTTGACAGTGCCTTAGGTTTCTTGAAAACGCGACGTCATTGCTGCAGCCACGTTCCAAGCTGGCACAGCCAGGTATGGTAACGTCAGTCTCCGTGCTCCTTTTGGTGTGCTTGTGCCAACAGAATAATATTTGGTGACTGCCCTAAAGTTAACGCGTGCCCTGAACGTATCGAAGGCCTCCAGAAAATCATTGTTACAAAATGACATGAACAGTAGCGATGACGCAGCATATGCAACAGACGAACGATTGTGAGCATATGTCAAGCCATGCTGAAATGTGTCACTGTTCTGTGTGCTCATGTCGCCGAGTTCGTTTACTACGTTGCACAACCTAGGTTAGGTGATGTTAGTTGGACAGCTTGTCGTTTTCAGAGCTCTTGCAAACAACTGATTAGTAATAGAAAGGCTGTAAATATTATCTTTTGGGCTGAAGCAATCAATGTGCTCTGTTATGGGTAATGAGCTCCTGGCAATACACAAAAAAAAACTTGATCAAAAGTTTCGTTTCAGTGCCTCTGTAATGATAAGGCAAAAAAAAAAGTGTTACACTAGAGAGCTTTAGGAAAGAAGTGTACATTGAAAGGCTCTTTTTTTTGTTAGACACAGTAATAATGAGAGCTGTCAGACAATCATGCCAAGAAATGTATAGAGGACGTTTTGAGAAGTCATTGTAATGTAAATGTGAAGAAAGAAATGGACATGGGCACGGACCAAACCTGCGGCCTTCGAATAAAGCATCCAATGCTCTGCAAACTGAGCTACCACGATGGCTATGCCCCATCCTCTTTATGAGGTATGTATATGCATTCAACGACCTACTGGCGGCGCTGACTGACACTACCACGTTTAATGCATATACATCCTTCATAAAGTTGACATGGGGATAGCTGCTGGGTAGAGCATCGGACAAGGTCGCATGTTCGGTCCCTGCCCACAGCAAGTTATTTTTTCATCCACTTTTCTTTCTTCACATTTACACTACAGTTCTTTTAATAATAATGTCTCCTATACTTTTGTTGGCATGATTGTCTAATAGATCTCATTATTATTGTGTCCAACACAGAAAACGAGCCGTTCAAAGTACACTCTATTACTTCATTCATCGCGATGGTCTCATTCCGACAGACTTTGTGCCTTCAGCTAGTATACGATGTATTTTGGTCAGCTGCCTGCTCTTAAGAAATTCACGTGTTACATGACGCCAAACAGGCTGATAATGAGTATTCCACATTCACTGTCATGGCTACTGGCGGCCCTGACTGACACTCATACATGTAATGCATAATAGTACATACCTCATGAAGTGGAAAGGGGGTTAGCTGCCATGGTGGCTCGGTTAGTAGAGCAACGGGCCCATTATTTGAAGGTCGCAGGTTCGGTCCCTGCCCACAGCAAGTTATCATTTTGTCCACTTTTTTTTTCGCATATACATCACAATTACTTCTACTTATGCTCCCCATACTTGGCATAGTTGTCTGATAGATCTCAGTTATAATCTGGTCAATGAACATAACTAAACTGAATCTGTGGTACCCAAGTTTGCAAGTAGAGATGGAGAGAGGTAAATAACTTTATTGGGTTAAAAAGAAAGGGGTTTAGGAGCCAGATGGGTGGGGCTTCATGTCCAAGGCTCCATTGGCTTGCGCCACTAGCCGGACAAGATCCAGGAGTGCTAGTTGCACCTCCAGGTCTGAGCTAGCGAAGAGTGCCTCCCACTGCTCCAAAGAGTTATCTATTCTATATATACGCTATAAGCGATCGAGTTCATTTGGCCGTTTAACACAGCTTTACGAGATATGGTAGAGGGTCGGTGGTGAGTCGTGACACCACAGACAATCATGCCCATACAAAGTCGGACGAATTTTGTGCAATCGTAACAAATTTGGATAAACTCCCTTTTGAATTTTGCAGAGGTCTGCGGCGTCTTCCCCGTTAAGAAATTCGTGGGGGCTGCCATATTTCGCCATATGGTACAAGTAGTGACGCCGAGATGGTGAACAAGTATTCTGTGGGGCACTTAAATGCCTTTGTTTTTGTTCGTTGTCAGTATTCCATTTCAGCTTTCTAAAATCTGTGGATTCATATGGATTTGGGGCGTCGCTATGCATTATATAGGTGCATTTTACTAATTTGTTACACAACTAATTCTAGCCTATTCTGTTCGCTGCAATGTTGTGCCCTTCTGTCGAAGCCATGAGTGTAATGCCACGCTTCACAGCATAATTTATGCCACGTATAAAATGTTTTTTACAGTCAAAATGGACTCTAGGCTGCACCATGTAGCCATGAAGACACTGCTTTGCCCTCAGATCTTGGAAAGCTGACCAGCTTTTTATAACTGTTGGAAAGAAGTCGCTGTTTTTCACACAGAAAATAAACTTTTTGTTATTGTACAGGGGAATGCTAAAGGTGTGTGAACTTTCATAGCTTTATAAAGGTACGCATGAAGACAACCTTGTTAAGGAAGACAAAAAATACAACTGCAAGCATAAGCCAGATCCAGCAGTAACAAGAGCAGCGTAGATGCTCTTCAAGTCATTTCTGCTCATTCATTAGTTCGTAGTTCTGCAGATTGCACACTCTTCTGAACAGCCTGGAAGCTGAGTGGAGTGTTTATAGTTTAGCAACACTGTAAAAGTCACATTTTACTGCCTGTACACAATAAAACCTTGACAAACAAAGCAGAGTGCGTTGGACCACTACCACTGTTTTTTCAAACTTACTTACTTGCCACGGTGGTCTATTGGTCACGGCGCATGACCCCTACGGGTCGCACAAGTCAAAACCGCAGCGGCCACATATTCAATCGAAGTGAGAACGCTTGAGGCCCATGTACCTTGGGTGCATGGTAGAGCCCCAGGTGGCCGAAACTTTTGGAGTTTTCCACCAACAATTATTTTTTCAAGGTTCCTTTGCTTGGACTGTAATTATGACGTACCCCGATGGCAGAATGATGTGGCTAAAATATTTGATAAGAGACATCAACAAAATATACCCACATTTTATTTTCAAACTCCTGCTTCTAGTTGGAACATGTTTTGACTAGTTAGTGCATCAATCCTCAAACATATATATCAGCATTATTCAGTTCTCTTGTTCAAGCACATCCATAGAATTTTGTTTATTTTAACATGTTTTCACATAAGCCTACACAGTGCCTTTATGTTTCTGTACAATAAGGAGACGACGAAGCCTATTCAAGCATAAACAAAAACATTGATTTCTCCATATTTTCAATGCATCTGTTTTTTTACCATTGAATTCAGTACAGGTTAAGGTTTGAGAACCTCTCTGCACATTGCTGTTATTATTACTTACTGCTAGTCATCAAGGAGCAGTTTCTAATCTTAGCCATGGTGGCTGTATTATGATGGGGTCAAAAGGCTGTGTACTGTGATCAAGATGCATTTTAAGGAACCCCAGATGGCCTAAACAAATTCAGGGGTTTTGTATGTCAAAATAGCAGTGTGAATGTGAGGCATACCATAATGGAAGATTTTAAATTAATACCTTGTTTATTTATTGCTTAGTACTCTATTTTAAAGAACACAGGTATGCTTGCAGTTCAGCCCCATCAAAAGGAGACCGAGGGGTTGGGAATCGAACTTGCGCATCCTGTGCAATGCCATCGCTACTAACCCACCAAAATGGGTCAGCACATGGTCAAAGTTGATGCAATCTCCATCCATGATGGCATCTGAATGGTAGTATACTGCACACGTGGGACATCATGCTTGAAAGCCACATTAACTACCAGCAGTGGACGCATTATTTGAAAGTGAAGGTTTGGTTTCTGCCAGTAACAAGTCATCTTCTTGTGCACTTGTTTCTTCACATTTACACTACAATTTTCTTTCTTCACATTTATATTACAGTCGAGCCCTTATATAACGGCCCCACTTAAAACAAACTTTCGCTCAAAACGAACAATATCCGCGTGACCGTGAAAATATACATTGGTTCAATGGCACAAAATCGCACTTACAACGAACGTCTCCGAGCGCCGCTGATCGGTTACAGCAAACGGAGTCAGCGGTCTGCTCACCTCCGAGGAAACCAATTTCGACCACCGATCAGGCATTGGCGAGGTGGCCATACATTCTTAGTGTTAAACGCCGACCCTGCCTCCGCGACCCTCTAGTTGCCACTCTCCCCAACCCATGGAGGAAGGAAAGTTGTTTCCTTTCTCCATGCCCCGACTGCTTTTTGTTACGCACCCCTCTGTGATTTGTCCCCCCGCTACTCTGAGCGCCCCGCATCGCCAGACGAGGCCCGTGTTTTTACACTGCCACTGATCTTTCAAAGACCGGTTGGCCAGCTCCTCTGTTTTTGATCGCTGATACTGTATTGGCGTCGCCGGCCTGGAGTGACCAGACCATTTGCCAAAATCTTCGGCCACCGACTGTATCCGATAGTCTAGTCTACGTCTAGTGCACGTGCGTATGCTACCCCACCGACCCTGATAATTATTGATTCGTTTTGTTTTTAGGACCTGTTCTCGCTCACTTCGCACTCGGCTCAGCATGCCCTCCACACGCGTGCAGAAGCGTGAAAATGGCTGTTGACTTGCGCGAGACGAATCACGAAATATTGAAGTCGGTGAGGCCATGCAAACCCGCCAGCGCAACAAAACGATTTTTAGACCACGGCCGCCGATTCTTTGAACACCGCCGCGCGCACTGATCCAGGTGGCCATGCTTTGACTTCAGCGTGCGCAGGCACTCTTTCGAAATTTTTCTACGTGCGAGTTTCGCGAACCTTTCAAGCAAGCTACCCAACCTGCCTTCTTCCCGAGTGTTTTGGTTTTCAAGGTCGCCCTCCTGCCGCATCCTCCCCTATTTTTATCACAACTCCTTGCCCTTCTCTCGCAAGTCTGCTCTCTTCTCTTGATCGTACGGAGGAAAGAAAGTGTTTGATCGCAACCCCTTCGCCCGTCTCCAACGCTCCGCACGCCCTCCACCCTGGCTCGAGTTAGTTTTGTTTTCCGAGTGGAAACGGGCTCCGAGCTGACCCACGCGTTCTGGCATGTGTGTCGCGTATGCGAGTCTTGCTCGCTCTTGGTGTGCATGTGTGGTCATGATTGCCGACGAGAGGACTAGCACGCTTTTTCGTGTCGCTCAACAAAACGTCGCAAGTGTGACCGCTTGGCTTGAGCGTAATCAGCGCGTTAGGTACCGCGTTGCGGAGCGCTTGCTCATAGCTGTTGACCACGTGGCAGCCAACGCCGCTTCGAGCGTCCCAGTATTCAGCTGGTGAATATTTCGTGGGCGGCGGTGACGACTACATGCGCGCGAAACTGCCGAGACTGTCAGCGACGCAAGGTACCGTCGACAAGGCCAGCCGGACTTCTGCAGCCAATTGAACCACCTTGCCGACCTTTGCAGCAGATTGGTATGGACCTACTGGGGCCATTCCCGACGTCGGCTTTCGGAAACAAGTGGATCGTGGTATCTACCGATTACCTCACCTGCTACGCCGAGACAAAAGCCCTTCTTAAAGGCAGTGCATCCGAGGTAGCTAAGCTCTTCGTCGAAAATATCGTCCTACGTCACGGCGCCCCGGAGGTCCTTATCACCGACATAGGAACAGCATTTACTGCCGACTTAACTGAAACAATCTTGGCATACAGCCAGACAAACCATCGCCGGACGACAGCGTACCACCCACAGACCAACGGCCTCACCGAGCGGCTTAACAAGACGATCGCCGACATGCTGGCAATGTACGTCGATGTCGAACACAAGTCGTGGGACGTCATTCTTCCGTACGTGACCGCATACAACACGGCGGTGCAGGGTACGACGCAGATATCTCCATAAAAATTGGTCTACAGAAGGAGCCTGGCAACGACGCTCGATGCCATGTTATCCAACGTCATCGACGAAGAAAACCTCGATGTGAGTGAGTACCTTCAATGCGCCGAAGAAGCCCGACAACTCGCGCGTCTCCGTATCAAGAATCAACAGACGATTGACAGCCTCCGTTACAATCTTCGACGATGCTTCGTGGAATACCCGCCCCTCTGAACGTGTTTGGGTGTGGACGCTGATACGCCGACGTGGACTAAGTGGAAAGCTTCTGCGACGGTACTTCGAACCGTACAGGGTGGTTCGACGTCTCGGCCCACTTGATTACGAGGTTGTCCCCAACGGCATCACGAACTCTCAACGACGCCGATCGCGAACTGAAGTCGTCCATGTCGCGTGCCTCAAGCCGTTTCATGCGTGTTGACAAACTGAAACAGTGTTTTTTGTATTATTATTGTATCGTAATTTATTCATTGTACTTTCTTGCATTATTGTTGTACCTTCATCTATAGTTAAAGCATCGGGACGATGCCTTTTTCAGAGGGGGGCAATGCCACGTTCCATTTCCCAAGTTTTGTTATCGTCCCAAAATACTACACAATTCTCAGCGCAAACCGCGCCTGCAGTTTTCGAGAAGCTTCTGAACTGTAGTAGATCATTTCAATAAGATCACGCCTACTCTGCGAACTGTACAGATTATTCTGGAACCTACGTCACCGCCAGCGATAACGCTACAACATTTGACGGCAAGAGAATAAATGCCGACGCGCTTCGCCGCTTGTCAGTAGTCGATCGACGGCCGACGCTCCGTTCACTGCTATCTGTGCAAGACTGCTACTGTAATCGAACTTTTCGTTTACCGGGCACAGGTTCTATCAAATAAACAGTTAAATCCCAACATAAAGTCTCCTGTCTTCGGCCACGTCACGAACCCGTGACAGTACGCATAATAAAGAGTGATGCAACATTCTTTAAAACCTGTGGGCTGAAGAAAACTTTTTAAAAATTCTAAACAGGTGAAATCTTTTTAAAATTTGCTATAGTTGAGATTTTCTTTAGTCGACCTCACTCTGCCAGTTAATTATTAAGCCAGCATCTGAAATCGTGGCAGAGATGGCCATTTAGCTGAAGAATGTTAAAATGCTCAATGCAATGTAGAGGCCTAGAAGTATTTCATTTTTAAAGATCATTTTAGTACATATCATTGCCATATGTTACAGGCTTGTGTTTTCAATACATTTGGTTAAGCTGATCTAACTATACAGGTCATGGTGATGCTTTGTTAGTGTCAAGCACTGCTTTAAGTGATCTGGAAAAAATACAGCGTTTTGAGTGCGACATCCCTATAGCTCAACGCAATCCTCAGCTTAAGAGTGGAGGGGGCCACTTGAAGTGTTCATGTTCTATCTTTCGAGGTCGATTGATTGATAAGTGCAGTTTAACGTCCCCAAACCACCATTTGATTATGAGAGATGCCGTTGTGGAGGGCTTCGGAAATTCAGACTACCTGGGGTTCTTGAACATGCACCCAAATCTGAGCCCACGGGCCTACAGCATTTTCGCCTCCAATGAAAATGCAGCCGGGATTCGATCC